GTGAAAAAATTGGTAAGCTGAGGGGGTCATGCGATTTTTAAATGGTGCTTCCCAAATCCCACCAGCCCCCCCTCCCTCATAAAAAATGAACGGTCCCCTATTTCTCAGGGTTAGCCGTTGAAAGAACTGTTAAAGAGAGGCAGCAATTTTTTTGCCGCACTCGTAACAGATTCTGACTTTTCTTGACCAATCAAGATGTAGGGCTTGCACTCAAGAGATCTTCTGAATTGTTCAATCAATTTCGAGTCCAGAGTCTTCCTGGCTCAGTCAGCGGTTTCTTCGGCGAGGGGAGCCAACCGATGACCCAACCAGGAAAACTCTGGGTTCGAGATTGGTACTCACCATGGTGCAATCAGTTGCTTAGCAACTTCAAGAAGAAAATTGCGGGCTCAGGTTGGTGTCCGAGACCGCCCGTCTGCATGTTATTTGTTCTGCTACTTTCAGCCAGCGAGCGTTGCCCTTTTGCGCACAACGAGGAGCAAACAGAAATTGATCCTGGAGGCCACCATCTCTCCTTGTATCTAATAACACTGACCTCCGGGTAAATCCCATCCAGTGAAAAGCATAGTGGGTTATGCCAATACTTGCTGTAGATAGATTGATATCCTTTACTAATAGGCCATGTTCGATATATCAATATTCTAACATGGCTCCGAGGCTTTCAGGACAAACTTCTATATTTGGTGTTGTATTCTTTGTATCCAAGTCTCTTTTGGGAACTGAGAGACAAAAGAAACTTAAAAAAATTTACAATTTTGACCCGAAAGCCTCGGAACCATGTTAGAATATTGATATGTAGAACGTGGCCATTTTGGGACACAAAATGTACCCCGGGAATGCAAGACTAAGCGGCACAACCAAAGGTATTGTTATAAAGGTCTTTTTATTACGTTCCACAAACGCAGACAATTCGGTCAATTAGAAACTTCACCTTCCCCATTTTGAATTTTCAGTTGGTCAACTTCCAATCCCCCGGGGCAAAAATGGTGTCTAAATGCCCCCACCCCTCCCGGGACAAACATGGTTCTTATTTCGTTACTCGTTATCAGCATCAGATTTTCATCGCTTCAGGGAAATTGAGAGCGAATAACCTGAACTGATTAAGTATATAACAGAGATTTACTTCAAGTACTGGTTTCCTTTTCTCTATGTAGTATTAAACTTGACTTTTAAGGAAAATTGCGCCAACTGTTTGATAACCTTTGAAATTTGCAGCTGTATATAGAAGCGTGCTTATCGGCTTTTTTTCAATGTTTCGAGTCCTTCTTTCAACCTTCCAAGGAATTCATTTTTCTCTAAGATTTTTTTCGCCATGTTCCTCCAACACAAAGAAGGAAAAAGAGCTGCTGTTTAGTGGAATAGCCGCCAAGCACTGATGGTTGATAGTGCATGATAGCTCAGCCAATGAGATTACAGCCTTTGCGTTTGTGTACTCGTACAATTCTCGTGACGATATTTAGAAACTCGTTTTCACAGCCTACGTGTAGCCGGGTGGGTACGGCTACACGTAGGCTCTCGTTTTCAAGGCCCAAGTTCCTCTGGGTGAAATTGCCAAATTGGGAGGTGAGCTAGGATTAGTCCCAGCGGTTATTCTCCCCACGCATGTTCAGAAACTACTATTGCTCTTGAGTGCATGCGCACAACCAAACCGGAACCGCATTTTTTCCCGAGCATCGGGCGTTCAAACACAACTGACTGAAAACGCACTCACTCTGGGAAAGAGCTTGAGGCTTGTGTACAGTTGAGGGGCTTTAGTTCCAAACTGCCACTCTCTACCTGGGTGCACAATAAAATGCAGGGGTGGGGGTGGGGGATAGTCTGGTGTTGGACCAGCAATATTCCCAGACACTTAGTAACACGCCGTTTGGCTCGCCAGATTCTTAAAATTGCCCTCTAGAATGTTATCCTAGGCGAGTGTCTCTTGCTTAAGTCTTGCTACTTAGATTGCACCAAACTTCATGAAACAAGCAAACTATGGAAATTCAAGGTTTTATTTTATTTGACATCTATTTGCCTTCCTGTGCCTTGCTAAACACATATGTTAAACAACATTTGCCACAGTACTGGCGGTCAAAGTGACTGGCCATAAACACTCCAGCCCCACAGGACTCTGATGGACACTCCCGCCGCAGACGAGTGATCTTTCCATTCTCATCGACCTTGTAGTATTTCAACACTGCCAGCTTGACCTAGAATGGCAGGGATAAGGCAAGGTTGAAATTGAAACACAACAGTAAGAAGTAAAATGGGTGAAATTATTGTTGCTCACTAACTTTCTTTAATGTTACAATACAATCAAGAGTAAATGACATATTTGCCATGGTTGTTTTTTTGGTAAACAGTATTCCCAAATTATAGCCTTTCACTGGCAAGCACGCCCAGTCCTCACTAGTGACACAAGCATAAGCATAAGCATAAG